ATTTAAATGTTTTGAAAATAGAGCAGTACATTTCGGGCAATGTACCTCCACGAAAAAGAAAATATCAAGATACAGCAAACAGGATAAGGGCTATTGTTGCCGATTATGCTGACAGGCCAACTTTAGAATATTTGAGAGGCATTGCTCACAATTTTCAGTTGCAAACATAAAAAAAATTAATATCAAAAATAAAACAAAAAAAAAATAAAATGACAAAAAAATTCCAAAGAAAGCAAAAAATTTAAAAAAAAAATAAAAAAAAAACTTGTAAACACGCCAGCTTCTGCTGCCAGTCCTAAGCCTGGATAAAGTGTGAAGGCAAGTTTTTTTCATATAAATATTTTTCACTTTTTACTTTTACCGTAACCGATTTTAGGTTAGGTAGAATCGTTTTCTGTAATTATATATAGGGGATAAACGGGGGTAATTGCTATTGTCAATTCAAATAAACTATTTATAGTATTTTATTAATAATATGCGTCCTTTTTTCCACGCGTCCTTTTTTCGCGCGTCCTTTTTTCTGCGTTCTTTTTTATTCGTCCTTTTTTCCGCGTCCTTTTGTCGGTATACCGATTTTATCATTTGTAATTAGTTGGTACATTGCAGTGGTGTGTAATTATTACTTGCCATAAGAGTTTTACGAGAAAGAATCGAGGTATGGAGAAGCCAGCGGCAATAACTTTTTTTTATTACAAGGAAGAACAATTTTTCCCCTGATATTCCAGTCTCTTACTCTTATATTGGCATTAAATATAACCTCCACTGTAATCCTCTGGTCTACGCCAATTTTACACTCTACTCTTGTAACACGTCACATGTAAAATGACGTTTGACAGACATTATTTATAATAACTGTATTTTTTTCGTTGTCAGTGTACTTTTCTTTTGGCTGTTAAGTAATCGATCTGAAGACGATCAGAAAATCGTGTTGCTCGAAATCGGTAGTCCAAGTTACTCTTAAATATGTTGTTATACTAAAACAATTTTTAATTGAAGGTGATTACTTGGCAACATCGTACTTAACGAAGCCCTTAACGATAACTTTTCAACGAAATCGTATTGAAATTATCAATTTTGCAGAGGCGTACCAAAAAAAATTTTTAATTATTTATTTAAACACATAAGTAATTACGTAAAAATTAAATCTAAGACCGATTTAATTATTAAATTATCATGTCTCTTTTAACAGGTATCTTATAGTTGTCTAACAAAATAAAATAAAATTTTATTCTTATTAGAGAGTATCTAATACAGAACTTCAAAAAACAGAAAACTTTGGAAAATATTTTTTTTTTCATTAGACTAAAAACAATCTGCAATTTTAATTACACATAATTACCCATCATTCTCTATTTATAGAATTGCTGTGTGCTGTAAACGTTATATTTGTTTTTTTTTTAAACTTAATTTGAAAGTTTGTTATGTTTATTCGTTTACATAAATATGAAAATATATTATGAAGTTCATATAAATTAAAATGAAGTAAGCTAAACTATTATCATATGAATGTGTTTATATAGCAGTGCATTTGTTTATTTCAGTAAATTCTCGAAATATGAAATGAAGATGGCACTAGCTACTAAAGAGTTAATAGCTTTGTTAGAAGAAGACTCAGATTGTGAAAATGCCACTTAATGTGGTTTATTTGCCGCCGAGATTAGATTAGAAAGTTTCTGATGTAGAAGACATTGATCCTCTTCTTCTTCTTCCTTCTAGTTTGTAGGCTTTAAAGCCTGTTTCTTCTTCAATATTAGCTTCCTAAATTGTTTAAATTCTCGCAACATCTTTTTCTTGGTCTGCCAATACTTCTTCGTCCATTTGGTGACTTATCTTGTGCTATTCGTACTATTCTATCCTCCGCCATTCTACTGATGTGTTTGTTCCACTTTTGTTTTCGTTTTGTCACCCATCCATTTATGTCTTCTATATTGCAAGCTCTTCTTATGTTTTTGCTTCTCTCCCTATCCAACAGACTTCTCCTTGATATTCGTCGGAGTATTTTCATCTCTGTTGTTTCTAGCAGTCGTCTCGTTTTAGATGTGTCAGGTCTTGTCTTAGCCGTGTATATAGGTCTAATTCCTGCTTTATAGATTCTTGTTTTTGTGTCTTGTCTTAGGTGTTTGTTCTTCCAGATTGTGTCATTAAGAGAACCCGCCGCTTTATCTTCTTTTAAGCTTTGCTGTCGTACTTCTCCTTCAACATCTCCGTAACTAGTTATATCTATTCCCAGATATCTAACCCTTGCTTCTGGCTTTATTATTTTCCATCAATTTCGATTTTACACCGTAGTGGGTATTTAAATGTCATACATTTGTATTTTTCCGCTGATATTATCATATTGTATTTCTTAGCTGTTGTATTGAAGATATGTGTTAATCTTTAGAGCTCATCTTCTGTCTCGGCGATTAATGCGGCGTCGTCTGCATAACATAATATTTGGATTTCTTTGTTCCCAATTCTGTAGCCATGACTTTTACGTACTACTTGTATTATTTCGTCCATTAATATATTAAAGAGAAGTGGGCTTAACGAGTCACCCTGTCTCCGCTTTGTACCGGTATACACTGTGTTAGTTTTCCATTTATCTTTGCTTGTATTGGATTATGGAGGTAGATGCTTTCGATGGTTTGTATAATATTGATTGGTAGGTTCCTTTTATACAGTAGGTGTAAGACGTCTTCGACTTGGATGCGATCGAAAGCCTTTGTCAGGTCTATAAAATATAGATATGATGGCCTTTTCTGTGATTTGTCTTAGTACAAATACGGCGTCTAAGTAGGATCATCCGGATCTGAATCCTTGTTGTTCATCTAATAAAGTTGTTAGCTTATTGATTTTGTTGGTTAGGACTTTAGTGGTAAGCTTAAGTGCGGTGTTCAGTAGATTTATACCTCTATAATTGTTGGGGTCTTCTTTATCTCCTTTCTTGACCATTGTTATCATTATGCTGTTTCTCCATGCGTCTGGTATCTTGCAGTGCAATATTAGTTTTTGTATAAGTTTTGTCATCTCTAGGGTTAAACTTTCTCATCCGTATTGTAGAAGCTCGTTGGTTATTCCGTCTGGTCCTGGTGACTTTCTATTTTTGAGTGAATTTATGACTATTTCTACTTCGTGAAAACTGATTTCTATTTCGTCTCTTAGTTCAGGTACGTTATTGTGTTGATTATTATTTTCCTTTGCTTTAAACAGTTCCGTCAGGTATCTTTCCCATTCGTTTGCTGGTATATTATTGTATTCCTTGAAGAGATTGATGATAATATTATTTGTGAAGAATCAATAAAATCGGATATTGCAGGTACATATGAAATACAAGTGATTGGGAATTCTAACGATTCTGATTATGATATTCCTCTGAAGCACAGATAAAACGTCCAAAGAAAAAACCAGGCAAAAATAGTAAATCCAAATTTATCTCAAGTTGTAATAACGGATATTCTTTCATTCTCAGTAGTAATTCAACATCAGTCTGATTGATATTTAGACAATATAAAAGCCAACCATGTAGGCAAGTCATATATTGAAGTTTTTTCATTCTTTTTGATAAAAAAGTAATTGAGAATAACCGTCACAATTTTGAAATGAATAACATAGATTTAAAAAAATTATTAGCATATTATTATGTATATTATCTGGTTTACCCTCTGCTTCAAGTTGATATGCATTGGTCAAAGGATGAGGATAAAGAAGTGCATATTATAAGAGAAAGCATGAGCCGACATAGATTTATAATTTTAATCTATAATAGTGAAGAAACCGCTAAATCAGTGTCAGTACATGGGTGTCAATCTAAATTTGCTTTACCAGATGAAACCAGATTCGACAATATTGGCCACATTATAAAAAGAGGCGATAGTGCAAAAATGTAGGATGTACAAAAGTAATACTATTTATTTATGTAAAAAGTGTAGAATGCATCTACACCCCGAATATTTCGAAAATTTTTACCTTAAAATTTAATTTACGTTTAAGATACAATATGTTCCTTTATTAAAAATTGTAGTGTTTTCCTTAAAAATGAAAAAAAAAATGTCTTTGGTTGTAATTTATTCCTAATTTATGTTTTTGTCAAATTTCTCTTTGTATTTTGAGCGGCCGTTAAGGGTTTAATACTATACAAAGAATAAACTGGCCTCCAATTTACTTTACTTGCCTCAAAACTATTTTAAAGTTAATAATAAAGTATATTTAATAAATATATTCCCAATAATATACTACGCCTATGTACATTATGTATAAAGTCTGGAAGATATAATATTTCATAAATTTCAATAAACTAAAATATCATATTTCTCTAATTAACATTCTTTCTAAAAACGTAAATATATATAGACCAGCAAAATATTGATTATCTTACCGATGTTCCGAACTATTCTATGAACTTGTCTCACTATACACTCGTGAATCGCACCAATTTATATTGTTACGGGGGCAAATTTATCTTAGATGGGTTACAAATTTACATATTTACATGGGCGAAGCATACACAATAAAAATGACCCCGGTAAGAATTTACTAATGAAATTTTTCATGGTTGCCGCTACCGTTTAGTTCAATTTGTAGATTAGTCACCTTTAATTGAAAATTGTCCGAGTATAGTAAGTCTTCTTTCTATTAACCATTTTAATAACTGACTCACATGTACAATTTATTCATTATTTGAATTTGTAACGTTTGCATTATCGAGCATCTTCTCACAGTCTATAAATATAAAATAACATATACAGGGTGATTGATAGTGTGATAATATATAGTGTGATAAAGCTCAGTAAATCCCCTATAATAATAGATAGCAACAAAAATTAATAACAAACCTTCTAGGCATCTTTTACGTTGACATTACAAAGTTACTTAGAATGTTTTAGAACTAATTTTATAATATAAATCTCAAAGTTGCTTATAATTTTTGTTATGAACTTAGTTACTATCTATTCGATTGAGCCTTATTACACTAATTAATCACCCTGTATAAAGATCCGGCTTCCAAAAAAAACATATTTAGTTTTGAAAGTAATGTATTAATTTGAAATTAAAGTGTATGTAACTTTTATTCATTATCGAATGTACGATACTACGATAGAGAGAAAGAACCATACATGCTTTCAAATATGCCACCTACGTATATTTCACAATAGGGTGTAGAGTTAAAGCAGTGTGCGGGTAATTTAAAAATAAATCACACTGCTCGATACCTGTATATAGAGGACGAAGATGTCGATCGCGACCAAGATACCAAAAACGTCTCACCTCTTCTCGAAGCTCGTTTTTCGTAAATGAGCGCTTGGATTATGTCATCTGGCGCCAACACAGTTTCGCTTATTCTATATAGGATTCTGAAAAGAAAGGAAAACGTTAAATATATATATATATATATATATATATATATATATATTATATATATATATATATATATATATATATACAGTGTAGGAAAAAGTTTATGGTCGGTATGGACCTTACGTGAGATGGAGTGAGAAACAGCTGTTTATAAAGAGAGAGTTATATTAGGTCCGCCCTTTATATCGCCAAACATGCATGCCTGGAAAGGGGAAGTTCAACGTTGCCAAACTTATCGGATTTATTTGACCTGTTGTTTTTTTTTGCATTTGAACAATGTTCTAAGATAATCCAATTTGGGCGAAATTGATTTAAATGGCAGCTTATTCTTTTTTTTTATTGGGAATATGCCATAAGTTTACTTTACAATAAGTGTAATATAACATTTTGATTTCCACTTGGAAATCGTTTTATATAAATAAAATTTATTAATGTTTCGTATTTTAAGTATGATTTCCGAATTAAAAATCTAAACATCAAAATAAGCTTATTTTAAAGTCACATTGTGCCTTATTCTCAATATGAAATAATAAACTGCATACAATAACGCCACATTAAAAAATATTCATACACAATAATTATTTGGCAACGTCAGTCTGGTCTGGTTCGGCCGACCGAGTAACGAGTAGTAGAGGTGGGTCGTGGTAGTTTTATCGTTAAGAGCGTAGGCACAAAATTTCGTTCCAATATTTTTTAAATGCATTAATTTTTTACGAATCCTGAGAAAACCAATAAATATTTTTGAAAAATTTAAACGCAGAATGAAAGAATACATTATTACCGAGGGCCCAAAGTCCCTGAAAACTTCTATAATGTTTATTTTAATAAGTTATATGGGTGAAAAAAAAATTATTGTGATTTTTAATTTCAAATATCTCATTCAAAAACCTTTTTGTTTATTATAAGGGACTTTCGGCCCTCGGTAATAATGTAAACTTTTATTCTGCATTTAAATTTTTCAAAAATATTTGTTAGTTTTCTCAGGATTCCAAAAAAAATGAATGCATTTAAAAATTTAAATTTTTGTAAACAAGTAACTATGGTTGTTTAAAAGTAGTTTTAAGTAAGAGAGTACCTACATAAACAAACATAATGGCTATTATCGTTTATGTGTATATTTATTGAAGTGAAAGAAACTATTGATTTATTTATTATAACTTGAAAAATAAACTAAACAATACAAATAGTAACTCGTATTTACATTTACATTACACGTTATTATTAAATAAACATTACAGTTGAAAAACATAAGTTTTTCAACTTTACTTCTTATTAACCGTCTTCTTTTTTTATTTCAAATTAAACCAGATTTTGAACATGTGTTCACATTTACAATACTAATAGTGGTTAAGTTAGGATATACATGGCGATGGTTTTTCCACCGTTGTAATGGACTCTCGATTCAGTGTACGTGTAGATGAGCCATCTCCAATTAATTGATCAAAAATACACCATGGATTTAAGTCATCTTTATTGGTTTCTTTTTCTTGTACTGGTTGATTTTCAATAGTACAATCTTCTTGTTCGTTAATTATAGAAGTAACCAGCTTCTTAACTTTTTCTTTAATTTTTTTATCTTCAATTTTATCAGAAAAACCCTGCACTTTAAATGGTGAATCCATAAATGTACATAATAACAATGTGCCACTCTGTTCTATCCCTTTAAATCTTTTTGCTAAACCCGATATTAGTAATTGTACTCGTCGGATACTATGGATGTAAGGTTTGCTAGACCTTTTTGCTAAATTTACCGTTTGCTAAAATTTTATTGCAAGATTCTTGCAGGCAGCGTACCATATCAATCACTGAACTACCCTTCAAGTATTTTTGGTCACTCATTGTACTTGTTATTTCTTTAAACGGCCGTAAAATTTGGGAAAGCTGAGAACAAATAATTTATTTAGATTTGGTCTAAGTCTAAGTCTGTATTATTTAATACCGATGTGGAACGGATTGCCTCTTCTAACTCGTCATTTTTTTTAACATGTAGTAGGTGAAGTTCTACCTAGTTTCCATGTCTTGGATTGGCCGTTTGGGAACTTTGTTATGTTGTAATTAATACTTTAAAAGCCTTTCTGAAAATAAGGTACTTTTTTTTTTAAATGTGTTTTTTGCAGAATTGTCGAAAATAGGACTTTTTATTTTATCTATTATCAAATCAGTTTTGACATAACATTCCTGAAGTAATGAACCTGACAGTTTTTCTTGTTGGCAGTTTATATCCAGGAATCCAACCTGCAAACTTTTTAAAAGCTGGTTCTTCACCTATGAAAAACGGATGAAATGAGTCTTTGCATAAGTTTAGTAAATCTTGAAAATCAACCAGTACAAGAAAAAGAAACTGATAAAGATGATAAGAGTAAAAGGGCAGCACGGGTTCTGCGTATTTTCCCATGTTAAATCCCATAAGAAATCGCTAAGGTTCATTCTGGTCATTTTTGACGCTTTTTTTGGTGGAGGCGCGACGGCTCGTCGGATCGTGACGTGTTGGGTATCGTTGGAAAGCGGTGGGGACGGGGAACATGTTGAGACAAAAAACAAAGATGGCGGCGTTGTCAAATGGGCGCTAGATCGTATCTCCGTTGTTACTGGTTCAATTGTGACGTATGAGGGCTCGTTGGAACGGGGAGAGGGTAACGAATATGTTTAGATAAAAACAAAACGCAAAAGACAGTGCCAAAAGGACACTAAGCTTGCAACGTCCAAACGGCTCAACGTACAACAACGTGTGAGGTATCGATGGAAAGGGGAGGTGGTAATGAATATATTAGCATAAAAAGCAAACGCAAAAGACAATGCCAGAAGGACACTAAGCTTGTAACATCCAAACGGCTCAACGTACAACAATGTGTGAGGTATCGATGAAAAGGGGAGGTGGTAACGAATATGTTTAGATAAAAACTAAACGTAAAAGACAATGCCAAAAGGACACTAAGCTTGTAACATCCAAACGGCTCAACGTACAACAATGTGTGGGGTATCGATGAAAAGGGGAGGTGGTAAAGAATATGTTTAGATAAAAACAAAACGCAAAAGACAATGCCAAAAGGACACTAAGCTTGTAACGTCTAAACGGCTCAACGTACAACAATGTGTGAGGTATCGATGAAAAGGGGAGGTGGTAAAGAATATGTTTAGATTAAAACAAAACGCAAAAGACAATGCCAAAAGGACACTAAGCTTGTAACGTCTAAACGGCGCAACGTGTGAGGTATCGATGGAAAGGGGAGAGGGTAACGAATATGTTTGGATAAAAACAAAACGCAAAAGACAATACCAAAAGGACACTAAGCTTGTAACATCCAAACGACTCAACGTACAACAACGTACGAGGGCTCTGTGGAACGGGGAGGTGGTAACGAATATGTTTAGATAAAAACAAAACGCAAAAGATAATACCAAAAGGACACTAAGCTTGCAACGTCTGAACTACTCAACGTACAACAACGTGTGAGGTATTGTTGGAACGGGGAGGTGGTAACGAATATGTTAAGATAAAATGCAAAGACATCGACGCTAGCTTGTAACGTCCAAACGGCTCAACGTGAGAGGTAGTGATGGAAAGGGAGGTGGAATATGTTAAGACAAAAAGCAGACGCAAAGACCGTGCCAAACGACGCTATGTCCTATCTCTGTTGTTATTAGTCAGATTACTACGTGTAATACGTTAAATGAAAAGGGGAGGTGACGGGAAATATGTTAAGACAAAAGACAATGACCAAAACGCCGCTATATCGGATCTTTGTTTAGCATAATAGACATTTGAGGAAAGTGAGGCTAACAGAGAATCATCGTCAAAAACGGTGCTATATCAAATATTCAACATAGTTTGAATGGGATTCCACGAATAATACAGTTCATCGTCTCGTCACGCCACCTCTCGACCACATCTAGCACCTGACATCGTAAAAAAGACACACAGCTTCTCTCTCTCTCTCTCTCTCTCTCTCTCTCTCTCTCTCTCGAAACAATGCGAAAGGTGACGCTGAAAACGATATAACGCGCAACAACGTGTGTGGTATTACTAGAAATAAAACATGAATCGAAGAACATATATTATTCTTACAGTATGACCAAACCAACAAACATTCTCTGATTAAGTACTACTATACACGGAACTTACATTACTAGTCAGCACTATTATTCTGTATATGCGTATCCACGGCAGTTCGAGTAATATTATAAAAATTATAGAATACAAATGTATTGTGAGTTGTATACTATATCCTACCTATGTCAATTCGGGTTATATACAAAATTAGTGAATACAAATGGTGAGTTGTGACTATTTTAATGTTTTTAAAAGTATTTTCATAGCGTGTTGCCTCTCATGCCTTTTGATGTTTTTTTTTTTTTTAATGTTTATATGTAGACTACTTTGATCACTATTTCTTATATTCGATTAGTAGCAACGACGATCCGATATAGTGTCATTTTGACAATGTCTTTGTCTTTTGCATTTTTGTGTTTACGTATAAAATATCCCTCCTCTTTCAGTTAACGTGTTACACATAGTAATCCGACTAGTAACAACAGAGATTTGCTGTAGTGCTGTTTTGACAATGTTGTTGTGCTTTATTTTTGATTTAGCATGTTCGATACCATCTCCCTTTCCATCAATACCTTGCACGTTGTTGTAGGTTGAGCCTATTAGACGTAACAAGCTTAGTGTACTTTGGAAATGTCGTCATCCTTGTTTTATTTTGGTTAGCGTATTCATTACCATCTACTCTTTCCATTGAATACTTGCAGGTTGATATACGCTGAGTTGTTTAGACGTTTCAAGCTTAGAGTCCTTTTGGCAATGTCTTTACGTTTGATTTTTATCTTAACATATTCGTTTTCACCTCCCCTTTTCATCTATACCTTGCACGTTCTCGTACGTTGAGTTGATTAAACGTTTCGAACTTAATGTTCTTTTGGAAATGTCTTTACGTTCGATTTTTATCTTAACATATTCGTTCTCACATCCCCTTTCCAGCGATACCTTACACAT